ACCTGGAAACAACCCCAGACCTTTTAACTACTTACTTGATTACAGGTTAACGAGGGAAAGGCCTTTTGAGTTACTTGCAGCCTTTGGAGTCCATTGTCCAATTACTTTTGGTCCCTTGAAAAAGAGGAGGCTCTGCATTACAGAGCTATGATTCCTAAACCCTTTCTCCGATTTGGATGTGGAAACTCTCATATTGCAGCTGCGGTGTGCACTTTCAGCCCATACTATATATAAATTGTATTTTTGAACATATTTTTGTCAACAGCTAAAATAACAAAACCTGTGTCACTGTCCAAATATTTCTGGCCCTAACTGTAACTGTTTGGAATACTTTTGGCCCATCTCAACTCATAAATGATTCAATAATCTTTCTCAGTCATTTCCATTTCAATCCATCTTAAGCTGCATACCCAGACAAAAACACCCTATTATTGTTTTATGTCATTTTACGCAGCCATGCTGAAGCGTTATGCAAGCTTTTCAGGAATATTTGAGAAGGTTAGATTAATCTTGTCAGAAGTCAGGCGTCAGGATGGCGCCACAGACTCAGAAGCATTTAAATCTTCTTCTGTCAGACCTGACTAAATCGGCAAGACATCATTAAGAACCTGCTTTGAAATGCAATTATATACATGAGATCAAATTAGTCCAACAGAGTCTAATGTAATTACATTTATACACTATTACCCTTATAATATCAAATTTAACTCCAACTTAAATGTAGGTGGTTGGAGGTTATTACATCATGCATCTCTTTTATCATTGTTTGGGATCACAGAAGCAACCAGTCTCTTCTGGTCCTAAGGAAACAAACATGAAATGATCCTCGCAACAGCATTTCACTGCCTTGGTGAAAATATACTAAGTGTGTACAATTTTTGCATACTTGAGCATACTTGAATTCAGATTAATCATCAATATACTATACTTCTGTAATGAAGTGCAGTAAAGAGGTGGTGAGGATGACGCTGAGGACCCAGGTTGGAGTGAAAGAATGATGATTTTAATGATGATATGAATACAAAGTACAAAATCCAGGCAGTACAGAATGAACGGAAGGCTGAGACTCAAAACTGCTAGTAACTGGTAACAACAGACGTCTAACTGGTTGCCACGAAAAGACAACTAGACAAGACAAGGAACCGACAAGAAACAAGGAACACAGGAGGGATTAAATGCACAGACTGTAATCAGGAAAACAATACACAGGTAGGACTCAATAGAAACAGAAACCTAAAATATACACACAGAAAAACTCAAATCACTACAACTTCAAGTTTTCTTAGGATTATTTAACTTAAACTGTGTCATTTTGAAATAACTAGTTTTGTACTTTGTATGTACTTTAATTGTATTTAAATACTAGAAAATCACAATTTGAAGTGCTTTATTGGAACTACTAAAGGTATACTTTGTATACTTCAAGTGTACGGCTTTTTATTTACATTAACGTGCTTGATTAGTATATCTTAAGTGTGCTATTTTTGTGAACAAATTACATTTGAAAATATACTTATAATGTCTTCTAAATATGTAAGCATTATATGTTTTATATATCAATACGGTGTTCAGAATAAGCTCCAATTAAATTGGTTTATTATAATTGCTGATAAAGTACATGTTAGTTACAATGTCTTCCATTGTTCTGCTTTTCCATGTTGTGCATTACCAGAATACAGTACTGAAATTGTGGTGAGCTATATTGAAAGATAAATTACACAAGGACCCACTTAACACACTTTCCAGGTAAAAGCAATATTTTCTTTTATCAAAGACATGTTTACAGATACTTTATTCACAACTTTATGTATTGTAAATATACTAGTATTTCACAAATAAACAATTAACACAACCTTAAGACAACAATAAACAAGAACATTTGTCATTCAAAAAAAGAGAAACAATTTTTTAAAAAAAACTTTTGAACATAAACTTAAATTCTTTTGCTTTGACTGAAGTGCTAATTGTTGCACTTCCATCTGATGGCTAAGCGCAGATCAGAAACCATTGAATTTGGAAATTCCTGAAAAACAGCATTTGCAAAACAAAAACATAAACATTTTCTTCAATTTTGACCACTTTAGACCATCTGGCAAAAAATAATGTTATTATATTTCAAAGGATTAGCAGTATCAGGGGGAGTGCACAGTGGTGCAGTTGGTAGCACTGTTGCCTTGCAGCAAGAAAGTCCTGGGTTTGATTCCCAGCCTGGGGTCTTTCTGCATGGAGTTTGCATGTTCTCCCTGTGCAAGGTACTCCAGCTTTCTCTCAGTCCAAAACCATGACTGTTAGGTTAATTGGTCTGTTAGGTTAATTGGTCTCTCTAAATTCTCCCTTGGTGTGTGTGCATGATTGTTTGTCCTGTCTGACTCTGTGTTGTCCTGCAACAGATAACCCACATAAGGAGGCCTAAGTCCTCAACACAGCCATAGCGGGTTCTGTTACCGGCCTGTTGACTTTTGCTGCATGTCTTCCCCCTCTTTCTAGTGAAATGTAACAGCACACACCTGAACAAACTGAAGATTTTGAACTAAATGTTAAAAGTTCATAAAAGTTCAGTTGCAGATCCAGACTGACAAGCAAGTGCTTTTTATTTATTTATTTAATAAGACATCATATCTAGTCATTATTTATTCATTCATATTTTGGAGGAAGGTACAGATTTTTGTGGGTGAGGAGGAAAGCTGACAATGATGAATAGAAATGCTTATGAATAAAAGATTAAATTTACTGGGAGAACTGTGCTTGCACGAAGATGATTTCTTGTTCTTATTCTGAATGGAGGTCAGCTGAGTGAGGACAGACATGTTTTATTTCTTTGCTTTTTGCAACCTTCAAAAATATTCCAACTTTTAAAATGCAGTTTTAATATTGATAACAGAGACCACAATGTATCAATGGCTGATTGATACTAACCCAATTCTCACTGAGATGTGATCTTCTTTCGGAAACCTTTTGTTCCCCAAAGTCTAAAAAGAAAAAAGGGAAAACACATCAAATTTATGGCTTCCAGTAGAGAGGACAATGACATACTTTCAGTGCAGAATGACGGTTTGGGATTGATGAAATGGAATACAAGTGTTAGATATGAAGATTCTGCTGAGTGAGTTCATAAAAGCTGCAGAGCCTTGTCTTCCTCTGAGGCTGATGCATCATGCCTATGGAGCATGATATGGTGTCAGGATGAGTCCCATGTGATCTGCTCATGCACAATTCAGCATCCTATGACTTGTGGCTAACTAATTTATGAAAATGAACTAGCTAACGAAACAATTTGTGAATGGTAGGTTGGAATAGCTAGACGTCTTTTAATATAAATGTAGTTGCATTCGTTCGTGTGAGTGTCTGACAGGAAAATGTTAAAATGGGTCAGGCACAAATGTCTTGATTTGCAAAGCAAATCAAGACATTTGTGTTTAACTGTTTAGAAAGTGCTATTGTTCAGAATCAAGTCAAGATTTTTTAAAAGTATTTGTATGTGCTTATTACATGTTTATAAGAGCATCCTTCTAAGTGCCTGTCACAGTGTGACACTGGCAGTATTTAGAAAAAAAAAATCTAACAAACCTTTTGGAGGAACGTATTTAAATCTCAATATTGACTTGATTCAATCTCATGATGTTTTTCCTTAAGGATAATTCAATGTCAAATATATCCATACATACCTCATCCTTTGCCTTTCATACAGCTGCAAGTTTGTGTTAGCAACACATACAGAAGTTTCAGTAATGACCTTATTCGTTTATGTCTATGACCTTCATTTGTTCTTTACTTAAACACTTAACCACTTTACAAGAAATCTTTTTTTTGTCGACCCTGTGGGGAACATTAAGTACTAATGAACTGCAAAACTGTCATCCTGCTGTGCAGACGCTTTTTTGGTGTGGTTTGGCCTGGTTGCCAGCTCATTTCTGCTCAAAAGGAAAAAGTTTGAGGAGAAACATCAAATTATTTTGTACATTGTAATGATTTTCAATTGCTGTTAGATTTTATCTTATGCTCTAAGTTACTTAACTTTGTCTCTGTACTACAGATCTTGAATCTCCACATGTACCTCTATTGAGCTCCTGGAATACTTTGTGCTGACATGCTCACCTCTTCAAAGAATCTCCTTACCTTCTCAAACTGCTACCACAATATCCCCCTCACCTGCTCATCTACTAAACAGCAGCTCAGGAAGAGACCAACCAAAGAACAAACCTCACCTTGCCCTGTCTAACCTCAGTCACAGCAGAAAACAATACCTTCTCCTGAGATCATTCCCTTCCAACCATGTAAGACCCGCCACAACGGCTTGATCTTGTACCTTGAGTTCACACCTGAAGCTTACCAATTCATCTCCTATTTTCAGTTCTTCTACAACAGCCTTCCTCAGTCTGTTGCTCTTTGTCATTGCGTCTTTGGGCAGACAGCTCACGCACATTACCTGCTTGAGGTAGTCAGAGAGACCAACAAGTGGGGCTGTTTCATGCATAATTCCTTTAACTCAATTTACTTGAAACGTGTACCATGCTGTCATGCAATATAATGAAAAAAAAATCATAGAAATTACATCCCATCGAGGCGCCCTTGTTATTCATATTTCTGATTAGTTTGAAATAATATTACTTTGTGTTGTTTTTTGAAATTGTCTTTATGTGTTTATCAAGTTTAAGTTGAGGATCCTGATGGCTGTCAGTCTGATCTGGAGCAGGCCAGCTGCGCTTGGTAAATCGCCGATTTTATTTGAAACAGCATATTCGAAAAATCCCAGTTTAACCCACAATCCTGGAGTTAAAAAATGCTACATCTCGGGAAAAAAAAGTAAGACTAATTGGTTCAAAAACTAAATCAGTAGAAGTATATAATTTTTAGCACGTGAACATTTTTGACATTTTTGTGTTATTAAAGAATATAGCCGCGCATCCATAGCGCAGCTTGAAGGTTTTGTACGACCAGTAGGCGGCGGTACTGAGGCGCAGGAGAGCGGGGGGTTGAGCCAGTAGCAGCCTGGCTGAAGAACAGCTGAGGCGGGGAGAGAAGGCTGGTCAAAGGAGGGCCGCTCGAAGGAGGAAGGTGCGAGGGTTTTCTTGGATTTAAATAACCTGACGTGTGCGGTTATAGAAGGAGGATTTTTAACAAAGGAAATGAATATCATTTGGGTGTGGACGGCCATGGCGACTGTGGAGGTAAATGCTGTTTTTTTTTTTCATTTTGTAGAAAGAATAGAGCAGCCGTAGCTGCAAGGGACCAGATAGATGCGCTCAGAAAAAATTGGGACAATGCGACCGAGTCTGAGATGTTTTCTAGATTCTCCGCTGTTCGCGATGATTCAATGCGGACAGACAGCGCATATCTCCTGCTGGGTATCAGGAAAAGATGCTGGTGGTTCCAGACCTGCCTCTGTGCCGCACTTTGTGGCCATAAACAATACGAATGCAGGCGGTGCGTGACGTTTTGAAATGTGAGCTCAGAGTCTCTCACCGTCAGTCCGGAGAGAGACAGTCATCCTTCTGTTCTTCGTTTTGAGCCTGACTGAAAAGGCTCGGATTCTTCTATTGGGTTGAATCAGGCTAAGCGTTAGAGACTGAGGCTGAGGAGAAAGATGGCAGTTTTCAGAGCTTCAAAACTGACGTCACATCGATGTCAATATAGCTCCATCTGCGTCTGTCTGACCGCCCAGCCGCCTCTTCTGTGGCAGTCTTTCCAATGGAAAAAATGTGGGGATCTTTTGGGGTGTATCAAGCTGGAGTTTTTGTCTATTGCAGTATTATATTATATTACTAATAACATCCCATAATGTTACCTGCTATGTTGTTCAGATACAACCTTTCCTCACCAGTAATAGTAACTTTGAATCGCGCCCCTGTCCAGTCCATCTGGGCCCCACGGTGATATGTTAACATTTTTACCAATCACGTTCTTGTGCCCCTCAGACTTAGATGATCATATGAACACATGTTGTTCGTATCTTCCTAAGGAGGTGTCTTGATGAAATCAGCAGCATCATTTATGAGGCTCTACTGGCAGTGATTGTATGCTGAGTGTAATATGTTGAAGGAAAAAGAAAATTTCCCTGTGTGCACAAATCAATACAGAAGGTCAAATGTCAGCTTGCTAGATAAAGCCAGCAGCAGTGCCATTCCCCCAGAAAGATACAGTCAGCAGTCTTGAAGTGTTCCTTTTATCCAGTGAAAGCATCAGATCTTCCCTCCAGCTAGAGACACTAGTTTTCTTTTTTACCCTCAAGGCCCTATGGATAATTATCTTGGATACAAGGTGTCAGATATAAGGTCCCTTTTCCAAAATGTCTTGATTTGAACTTTTAATTTCTTTATATTTTGCTTCCAATCAAGACTTGAAAGGTTTGTGTTGGACTAGAGTGAATATTTTTTTTAAATCCATTCACTGCTTCAGCCGGGTCATTATGAATATATCAACATTCTGAGCATAGGGATTCCAAAGGTTTTCAGGATAATAGGAGTGCGCGTGTGTGTGCATATGTGTGAGTGTGTCATTAGAGCAGTCTGCCTTCCCCTCATACTCTCCATCTTTCCCATTTCCTTACGAACATACTCTGACAGAAAATGGAAGAGACTGTTTCAAGTTTTTGGCTTAAGCAAAAGCAAAACAGGATCCTTACTTTAATCATACAAGCACATACCTCATGCACTCCAGCCTGCAGCAGATGATCTAGATCTCCCTGTGGAGCGAGCAGACTGCTGTTATGTTCTCCTGACTGGAGACCGGGTGGTGGGTGATGTTGGTAGTTGTGGGCTCCTTTACCTGCTGTCTGACTGGATGTCTTTGTTCCTGCAGTGAGCCTCGATATAGCCAAACTCCGTCAAGTGTTTGTTTTTTAAATGTCATATTAGATTTGTTGTACTGATGCATTTTGACCTGCTTCATTTTGACCTGTTGAGTGTTCCTACCGCAACACGCAAACTTCCCCATTCAGTCTGAGCATTAAAGTTTCACACAATATTACTTAAGATGTATTGCCACGTGCCTACTCAGTGTGAACGAAAGAGGAGATAAGCTGCACAGACAGGCTATGAAGTGACAGAGATAATTGCCAACAAAAGACAGTGATCTGCGATTTATTGATCATACAGTTCTTCGTGGAAAACAGCAGATTATGATTGGTGGCAGATCGATCGGCACAGCTATAATTTCATGCATTGAGTCAGGACCACATTACTAGACTGTTCCAATATGGAATGAGCAGGATTCTGTCACAAAAATGTTCCTAGTGCCCTAATTTTTATATAAATTATCACCAGATTTCTATAAAATATGGTTTGAATTAAAGCTGAGAAAATTGCTGATTTTTGAAATGTGAAATATGTATTCTGTCAAGTTGCAAGTGAAGACTAAGCACATTTCTCATTTATATTGGACAATAATTTAAGTTTACGTAACTGCTGCTGCTAAAATTACAATAAGTCACAACATTGACTGAGTTTATTTAGAATTTTTAAGGAAATTACAGATAGAACAGCATAACTTTCATGTCCTCCGTTGTTGTATTGTGTTTGTGTCATGACAGATCATGTTGCTCTGGGAGCACCCAGCTATATGACGACCTCACCCACCAGAGCTGTTTCTCAACTGTAATGAGAGAACCACCCTAACTGTGTAGGGGAGAGATGAGCCAGATCCAGCTTCGCTGCTAGTAACTTGTGGGAAAGGCAAATTCTAAACGTTTCACCAAAAATGGGCAGAAATGATACTTCTTTTGCATTGTGCTGGTTTCTCACAATAGCCTATTTGAACTTTGGTCCTGACCTCTTGACAGATACAATGTACCAGTGAACCAGTCTCTCCTGTAGCACAAAATTTCAAACATAATATTGTCTCCCATCCCCGTAATTTCAGTTGTGATGATCTTATTAGGCTTACAAGATTCCGCCAATTTCCTCCAATTATTCTAACAGTCATCATGGTCTAATCACCTTGGTGTTAGTTTATTCAGACTGCAGGACATTTTTTACTGTCTTACTGAAAGGTTCATGAACCTTTCTGTGTGTTTTGCCCAAGAACAGACAAGCTTAAACTCTTGTAAACAATTCCCAGTTCTAAAATAGCATCAGCAACTGGATGCATGGATTTTGTGCATGGGAAGAGGAGATGGTTCTGTTTTTTTCTGTGTCCTTTTGATAATCTTTTTTTTCTGCAATGTTAAAATTTCAACCAGTTGAGAGTTCCTGTCATGAAGTCGAAACATCTTACCCACAAAGAGCAAGCTAACACCCTCTCAGCTGGATATCAACTCACTTCAAACTAAAGACACATTCTGTGTCTTCTGCGTTTAACTCAAAGGCATTTAAATCTCTCACTTTATCCCTTCGATGAGCCCTCCTGAAGAGAATGTCATTCAGATGCATTAAAACAGCATAATATATAAAAAAAAATCTTCTACTCCAAGTTCTACTGATTGGTATACTTATACTTTCTTATGTAACTCCAGTGGAAGAAATCTGAACTTTGCTGCAAATGGCTGTAGACTATTAAATTAAAGACAAATATATAAGGGTTCTGTTTCTATGATTAAAATTGTAGTGTTATGTCACAACTGGATTATTTTCAGATCCAAATTATTTTTTCACTTGTTTCTTCCTGACTTCATTGTTTTGTGATACATATACACTCCTGATCATAGTCATGTTGGAAGTAGAGCTTCAAAATGTAGACTCAGAAGCAGAACATAAAGTAACAAAATAGGTATAATTTTATCAAGACCACAATATGGAAAATTCTGAAACAGGCACACAGTAGACCCGCATGTACTTGAAGAGGTTAGAGACCACCGCTAAAAGACAGCTGCTCTAAAAACATTTATTACAGCCTATTTTAATCAACCAAACACTGAAATACTCATTAATATAAATGAAAACCGTCTTTGTACAATTGAAAAAGCTGACATCGACAGTGTTCCTCATTGTCACTCTTAACGGTACGACCAAACAGCAGCAAGGCAAATGAATGGTGCTTCTAGATTGGCTGCTTTGAAAATGCCAGTCAATAGCGAGTCATGTAGCATTGTGCTGAGGTACTTCAGCTACCCAAGCTGCATTTTTGAATATTTTAGACATGCTCAGCAAAAAATCTGTGAATAGGTGAATTTTTCTTGAATAATTTGGAGCTATATTTGTGCAAATTTACAATTTGGATATAATCCATCAGGATGGAATGCGTTTCTGATTTCTTCTGTTATCTTGAAAACTTGATCAGGACTAAAAAAAAAAAAAAAAAAAACAAGCTGGTTGAATTTTGGTAAAATGTTGGAAAGATTGTGTGCGTGAGTGTGTCATCAGAGCAATTGCTGTTAATTCTGGAAGTGTTAAAAGCCAGCCCACCTACCCCATCTACACCACAACCTAGTTTCTTCCAATCCCATACAAACACACTCTTACAAGCAAAGTGAAAGTGACCATTTCAAGTTTTTAGCTTAAGCAGAAGCAAAACAAGATCCTTACTTTAATTATACAAACACACACCTCACACACTCCAGCCTGACCTAGACCTCCCTGTGGAGCTAGCAGACTGCTGCTAGTTCAACCAGAAACCCAAAAGTCCAGATTGCCTACACTTATTTTGCAAGCCAGAACAGGGATTAGAAAAAACTTAGAATCCAGAAAAACTACCTTAGAAGAAACTACATTTTAGACTCCTATTTTTCCAAAACAGAAAAGGAATTAGATCAGATACTTACTTATACTTATTATACTATATTCTTATTATACGTGAAATCATTTACCCTGTTATCTGCTGCTGGTCCTGCTGATTAATAACGGTGTCTGACTGGAGCTGAGCAGAATTTATGTTATTATGCCTCAGTGTTGCAGGATGGAGGAATAAATGAAGAAAATGTTCAACTTAGTTCCAGTTGCAGACGCATTTTCATTGGCTGACACATTTAGGTTAACTCTTTATAAGTTTTGAACAGAAACATATAAAGAGTTATTGAACAGAAAAAAAAATGTTTATCAGCACATTTTGCAGCTGGAGGAATCATTTTCTTCCTCTCATCTCTTTTCTCTATCTACAGGTTGCTGTTCTGGCCGAGCTGTCGTCAAGCAGGCAGGATCGGTTGCCGTGCACAAAGGGCTTTTCACAAGAGGAATACTACACTAAAACTGAGTCAAAGATGGCAGAAGGGCAGGCTGTGTTTAACGGTGAGTGCAAGCACACACATACGCGTGCACACACAAAAAAAAAAAACTTTGGGGTTTATTACATTAACAAAATAATATCATGTACTTTCAACGCAATAATTTCATGTTTCAAACAAAAACATGATAAAATCATGTTGGATAAACAAGACATTCAACAACTTAACATTTATGAAATATAATCATGTTGAGATAAAACGATTCATTATAGTCAGATTGATCTTGTGCTGAAGACAACGAGCGAGATCACGGGAGATTATGGAAAATCACACGAGGTCACGCGAGATAATTGCTTTGCGTGCCAAGGAAGCAGTTATGAGAAGACTACATTTTCCTGGCAGCATTGTGCATATATATCCACAATGTTGTGCTCTAACATCACATGAAGTGATGGGTAGCCGACAATAATCAGCGTTTCTTTACCATTTGCACCATTTTCTGCTTCCATGCTTGTCAAAAAATTTCATTAACATGTTTTAAAAAAAAAAAATGTTATGTTTTAAAGGCAAATGTGGATAAATCATGTCAGATAAACATAAAATTCAGCAACCTAGTGTTATTAAAACGTATTCAAGTTGAGATAATGTGATTAAATTTAGTTAGACTGATCTCCCGCCGAACAGGGTCTAGTGAGATCCGTAAATCACGCGAGATGCTAGTGAGATTACGGAAGATCACGCGACATAACAATTTTGCGTCTGGGGAAACTTCAAGGTGGTTTTAGTTGAACAATAAACTACAGATATTTGTTTTTCTCTGCAAAGCTTTATTGGCACTTAAGAACTGCACTGTAACAAATGGCTGTAAAAACGATAGCATGAAAATACAGTAAGGTGGCTGGGTTTTGAAAATTTGGCTCTAACGTGTATAGAAAATATATGGGACGTGATTGGACCGCTGGATCATGTGCGGAAATTTCCAGCTGTACTGTAAATTTTAATGTACAGTTGCATTGTGGGATATTTACTGGCTGGAGGCGAACTTTCACAGGCTGGTCAGCAATGACTTTCACCAGGAAAGTACTTTTGAAAACAAACACAATTGCTTTTAATTGGAATAACCTTAATATATTAAGTTGAGCCAACACAATTGCTGTAAATTGGAGTAACAGAATTACATGGTGCTGAAATAAAGCAATCAGGTGGAAATCCTTTCCATAATTCTTTTACGTTCATCCAAAGAGTTATTTTTTTCAGTGCACGTGCAAACACAACACACATACGCTTGAACCAACAGCTCCAGTATCGCTGCAGTTGGAGTGTTCTGGTGATTTTTGAATGACAATGAAGCTTTAAAACCAACTCTGTGGGGTTAATGAGTGTGATGGGACATTCTTTTAGGTATGGAATTTTTGATTGATTATCTGACACGTTTAATAGGTTGCTTTCTCGCTTTCTCGTTCCCAGTCAACACGCTGTGATAAAAGGGCCGAGACAACATACTCAACATGTTGAATATGCCCGATTTTAGATGGGAGCAGTCTAACGTTCCACGTAACACACCACACAGACAGGATAATCGTACGATTATCACAAGCGACAATCAATCAATCAATCAATCAAATTTTATTTGTATAGCACATTTCAGCTACAAGGCATTTCAAAGTGCTTTACATCATAAACACAAAACACAAAGGCATGCAACATAGAATAAAATACCAAGTTTTTTTTTTTTTTTTTTTTTTTTTTTCCCTCTTTTTTCCCTTTCTTCCCCCTTCCCTTTGACAAGGAATTTAAGCGCCTGTTACCGCCGGACTCCGCCGTCCGTTTAACCACGGGTATTCGCCGGGCCCCGTTGCCCACAACAGGAAAAAAAAAAAAAAAAAAAAATTACATACATATCCACAAAATCAAATCCATACATATTACATTTCAAATGCAACTCTAAACAGGTGCGTTTTTACTTGAGATTTGAAGGAAGTCAGGGTTTCCGCTGTTTTACAGTTTTCTGGAAGTTTGTTCCAAATTTTTGGTCCATAGATGCTGAAAGCTGTTTCTCCTCTTTTGGTTCTGGTTCTGGGGATGCAGAGCAGACCAGAACCAGAAGACCTGAGAGGTCGGGAAGGTTGATACAACAACAGCAGATCTTAGAACTCGGAACGTTCTAAAATTGTCATTAGGCGAAAATCGGGGCAAAAAATTTTAAATTGTGTCATGTGATCTCCTCCTCACCCATCCCCTCAGGCCGCAGTAAAATTGCCAAGCCATGACCGGTCCACAGTGATAAAAAGATTGGGGACCACAGCTCTAAATTCTACATAGATGTGTGTGGATACATCATTTTTTATCCCATTTATCTATGTTTTGCCCTGTGATGATGTACCTTCCCCCTTTTACTCATCTGTTGATGAGTGACCGCTGTAAAATAATGGATGGGTAGAGAACCCAGTGCTTTTCCTACTCAAGTGAAAGAATCAATACTTATTGATAAAGTTACTCAGGTAAAAGTGAAAAGTAGCAAAAATATTACTAAAAGTATTTATTTATTTTTTTTTTTTGCAAAAAAGTTACTCAAAGTTACTCATTGAGTAAATGTAACTATTTTCTACTCAACTCTGTAGAATTGTATAAAATGATATCCTAATGAAATATTTTATCAAATCACCTCCAATCTGGCCAGTTTTTGGAGGTTATGTTTTATCAAACAAAAAGTTAAAGGGTTACAAGCCTGAAAAGACAGCATGAAGCAGAGAAAAAGAAGTTAACTCTCTGTAGAAAAAAATTGCTTGTTGCTCCAGCACATTTAGAGGAAAGAAGTTGGTCTGCTTTCTGGAACATTGATTCAGCTGGGATCAGAGCAGTGTTTTGGCAGTGGAGATTTGCGTGGGTGTGCATGTGTGTAAGTCTGTTTATAATAACTCTGTTAAAGGGCTGTCGCTCAGCTTTTTCAGCACTTCAGTCATGGTGGTTGTTGTTTTTGTGTATCATCCAGCCTGTGTTTGCATAATGTAAATATTGTTGCCTTTGCCTTTTGTGTGCGTGCGTGCGTATGTGTGAGAGAGTAATTCAGACTGAGGTCAACAGCTGCCCTGTGCTTCCTGTGGAGTGCAGCAGGGTTACTTGCTCTGACCTTCCTGTTTCCCATCCATTCTTGCTGTTTTAGCAGTGAGCATTAGTTAGTGATTCCGCCCAGTCCAGCCAACTGCCGGTCAGGGCAGGCCTCCTTAGCTGGAAACCCCATTCAGTACTCACTGCATGCATTCATCTATCCACACCTTCTGTAAAATCCCTTTTTTTCATCCTCTTGTCCTTTTTTCAAACTGTTCTTCTCTTCTCATGCAGAAGAATGTCCTACTTTTCTCCTACCCCATCTAGCTTCCTTTTGAACAAGACTGGGAAAGAGATACTTTATTCTTCCATTATTGACTTGATGGCACAAGTCGATCATGACTTACATGTGAATGTAAGTCTTTACATTCTTTACATTGGTTTTGGAAGAATCAGCCTTGACTCCATGACTGTTGGTATTTCTGCTTTCCAAGCTGAAATTTCTCTTGAATATTTTAGATATGCTTTACAAAAATAGTCTGCTACTAAGTGGATTTTCCACAAATATTTGGAGTTACATTCTTCAGACAAATTAGCAATTAGGTGAATCTGCATGTACTGAACCATTAATAAATGGGGGTCCACTGTACTTTCAAACTATTGTGTTGAAAGCAGCCTTGTGTTCTTTACAAATATGTTAAAAGATGGAGTAACAATAAGGCTGGTGCTGTGTGCTAAAGTGACAGATGGGGTCAACATGGTGGGGGGATTATATTGGGGATAAACTCTGAGCCCATTCTTCTGCTGATGGGCAGGTTGACACATAAGCCGGGGCAGAAGCACAGATAGAACATTGTGATCTGTTATGAGCACAAGAAGCCTGCAGAGGGGCAGATTTAATCTGGAGAGGAAATAAATATGCAATCTTAATCAAGCCAGGAAGGTCAGCTTGGAAAAAAAATATATGGTGATGTTCAGGCATTCATTTGAAATACACATTTCTGTTACAGTTTTTCCTATTTATCAAACATCTAGCATAGGGGTAGGTATTTATCATATTGTTTTGTCATTTATCATGATATATTTTTATCATAAAAAGAATAATTTATTGTTGTCACAATACATTTCAGTTGTACATTTCACAATACATTTCAGGTTGTCTTTCTCTGAATCTGATGTTAGAATGTGTTGATGATGTAAGCCTGTAAGAAAGACAAATGAAGCAAAATTTGAAGGGGGTTCTTTCCTCTGGTGATTCTATCTTGGAGATGTAAAAACAGCAGTGTTGTATAGTAACGAAGTAAAAATACTTCACTATTTTACTTAAGTATATTTTGGAGTACGTCATACTTTCCTCGAGTATGAAAATTTTTGATAACGTTCACTTTAACTTAATTGCATACTTTTACTCCGATACATTTTCAATGTGTGGTTTAGTTACTCGTTACAAAAAAGCGAGAGAGAGAAACGCAAATGTTTTGACCCAACCTACTGATCGACTGCAACAAAGTTGGTAGCCTACTTCCCTGGGCTTGTTCATCAACACCAATAGGATGCACCTGTTTCACTTCTCCCATTAAACACCAAGTTAACCAGAAAGGTCTCCCTCTTCAGATGTCAAATAAGCTGCATTTCCCTCCCAATAATTTTTTTTCCTTTTGCATAATGACCAGTTGTGTGCACCTACAGTTTGTGAAGTAGAGTAATCGTAACGGCTTTTTTTCTTCATGTTGGCCGCATTTTCTCTACTGACTATTTATTTTTCTCATTTTCAGCACTGACCTTACTTAAAGGGAAAACTTAAGGCTTACAAAAACCTTGTATTGTCTGTCCTGAAGGGTATACTAAGAAGCTGGTTCAGTTGTAAAGCAGGTTAAGTTAACCTTGTGGTGTAGGTAAAGCACCTAATTTTCTTAACTAAATGATGTCTGCAGGTATATCTATTAGCAGGTTTCATTTTGCCATCACTTGGTTGTGTACATTATTTTACGTGTATTTGACAAGTTTACCAAAATA